TGTTAAGTGTGCTATATTGAGTATAAACGTTTACTTGTTAAGTGTGCTATATTGTGTATAAACGTTTACTTGTTCAGTGTGCTATATTGTGTATAAACGTTTACGTGTTCAGTGTGCTATATTGTGTATAAACGTTTACTTGTTAAGTGTGCTATATTGTATATAAACGTTTACTTGTTAAGTGTGCTATATTGTGTATAAACGTTTACTTGTTAAGTGTGCTATATTGTGTATAAACGTTTACTTGTTAAGTGTGCTATATTGTGTATAAACGTTTACTTGTTCAGTGTGCTATATTGTGTATAAACGTTTACTTGTTAAGTGTGCTATATTGTGTATATAACGTTTACGTGTTCAGTGTGCTATATTGTGTATAACGTTTACGTGTATAAACGTTTACGTGTTAAGTGTGCTATATTGTTGTATAAACGTTTACGTGTTATGTGCTAAATAAACGTTTACTTGTTAAGTGTGCTATATTGTGTATAAACGTTTATGTGTTCAGTGTGCTATATTGTGTATAAACGTTTATGTGTTCAGTGTGCTATATTGTGTATAAACGTTTACTTGTTAAGTGTGCTATATTGTGTATAAACGTTTACTTGTTAAGTGTGCTATATTGTGTATAAACGTTTACGTGTTAAGTGTGCTATATTGTGTATAAACGTTTATGTGTTCAGTGTGCTATATTGTGTATAAACGTTTACGTGTTCAGTGTGCTATATTGTGTATAAACGTTTACGTGTTAAGTGTGCTATATTGTGTATAAACGTTTACGTGTTCAGTGTGCTATATTGTGTATAAACGTTTACTTGTTAAGTGTGCTATATTGTGTTTACTTGTTAGTGTGCTATATTGTGTATAAACGTTTACGTGTTAAAGTGTATATTGTGCATAAACGTTTACGTGTTCAGTGTGCTATATTGTGTATAAACGTTTACGTGTTCAGTGTCCTATATTATATATACATTAGTAAACGTTTATGTGTTTAGTGTGCTATATTGTGTATAACGGTTATATGTTTAGTGTGGTATATTGTGTATAACGTTTATATGTTTAGTGTGCTATATTGTGTATAAATGTTTACGTGTTAAGTTAAGCGTGCTATATTGTGTATAAATGTTTACGTGTTAAGTGTGCTATATTGTGTATAAATGTTTACTTGTTCAGTGTACTATATTGTGTATAAATGTATACGTGTTTAGTGTGCTATATTGTGTGTAACGTCTTATTTCCTCCGATAGCTTCGGAGAGTGACAAACGTTCGTTATTGTGTTAACACAATATACTTACAGAAATATTCTACCATGACTTCAGTAAACACTGGATTGTGATTGGTTAATTAAACTCATTCAGAGGTATATAATCACGTTATACAGGTCTCTGATTTTCCGTGCGCAATCATACATGGTTTACGGATATGCACTATTTTTGTCTGCCCACCTACATGGCGGACACCAAACAACCTACCGATGCATAGATAAATTACGGCGATTTTGCTGTCGGAAATTACACATATGTCTTTAAAGATGGATTTAGCGTTGACGGGCTCGACTCACTACTTGCGTAAATCACAGCAATAGGTGTTTATACATACAAAAGTACTTCGAAAGCATGGAAACAAATATTCAGTCGAACAAGATCAAAACATCGTCTGCTTTCCGAATAAAAATTAAGCAAAAACAAATATGTTTACGTTGATTCTATGTTATGTCAGAATAGATCCAGCAATAGACTTCTACATAATTTCCGTGTTAAATTTATTATCAGCTTTCGTCAACGATATCGCCACTGATCTTGATCCGGTAACGGAGGATGCATTAACATCGAACGCCGAAGACAGTTTAATGCCTTCCATAAATAAACAGTTGGGTTATCAATTGAAACAAAATGATATTTTGAAATTTGTACTGTTTCAAATTTAGCGGTAGTAAAATACGATTACAGAATCTGCAAACCGTTCTGTTTAGCCCAACATATATTTTTTCTAAAAGTATAATATCGTTGAAAAAGTTATTTAGCTTAGTCATGATCCCTCTTATCCATTACACTGCTTGATCTAAAGTAGTCTATTAAAGTATAATTAATTACCTTACCGTGTTTATGCCAGAGGTACACATGTAAAAAAGATTTGGTTCCCCCATAGTAAAAGTTCCGGCGGAACTTTTCATTCCAACATTTGTTCCTGTAATAGTGCATGCGGAACAATTATTTCGTTCCGCACACACAGAATTTATTCCGGGTAAAGAGGAACTTCCACACACATCATAAAGTGTCTAAAAGAGGGTTTTGTTTGTTGGGGTGGTCTTAAAAATTGGGGCGTGGGGGGAACGGAAAGGAAAAAAAGATTTTCCTACGGTATTTGTTTCATTTGGAACAAATCATGTGGCTATCAAGAAGCAATTATCATGTGTGAAAGTTACTGAATTTTTTTTTATGAAAATACATTGTAGATTCCCCAGAATGCGAACTGATGATTCTAAATGAATCTTGTGTTAAAAAGAGTTCAGTTATTATGTAACCAAGTTACCTTCATTAATCAGGTTACAGTCAGTAGCCAGGTTACAGTCATTATGTGACCAAGTTACAGTTGATCAGTAGCCAGGTTACAGTCAACATGTAACCAAGTTACAGTCAGTCAGTAGCCAGGTTACAGTCAACATGTTACCAAGTTAGTCAGTAGCCAGGTTACAGTCAACATGTTACCAAGTTAGTCAGTAGCCAGGTTACAGTCAACATGTAACCAATTAACAGTCAGTCAGTAGCCAGGTTACAGTCAACATGTAACCAATTAACAGTCAGTCAGTAGCCAGGTTACAGTCAACATGTAACCAAGTTACAGTCAGTCAGTAGCCAGGTTAGTGAACATGTAACCTAGTTACAGTTAGTCAGTAGCCAGATTACAGTCAACATGTAACCAAGTTACAGTCAGTAGCCAGTTACAGTCGACATGTAACCACGTTACAGTCAGTAGCCAGGTTACAGTCGACATGTAACCAAGTTACAGTCAGTAGCCAGGTTACAGTCAACATGTAACCAAGTTACAGTCAGTAGCCAGGTTACAGTCAGCATGTAACCAAGTTACAGTTAGTCAGTAGCCAGGTTACAGTCAACATGTAACCAAGTTGAAGTTAGTAGACATCCCGGATGTTGACAAGTTGGATGAGTCCATTTTGCATTCAATAATGACTGGAATAGGTTAGGCCTACGGTATTTGTTCCTGTTCGATGGAATATTTGCCGTATGTGCGGAATTTTTATTCGTGTCATCCATTCTCAATTTCACGGCATTTATTCCGAACCGGAACATTTACTACTCGGAACTAAATCATGTTTACAACCACTCATGCCCTGATCCATCCTTTCGGAAATATCACCACAAATCTGGCTCTTTGTCAACAGCCTCGCGAACATGCCAGCGAATCCGATTCAATTTGAATTCACTACACTTTGAAGCCACTAGATCACAAAACACTTTCCAAAATGTAGAAAATAATATCCGTAGAATCGAATTTGAGCACAAAGTACACACATGAGTGTGTAAGAGTCACCACAGCTGTCGCACGCAGACGTAGCGGTGCGTGAAATCGTCAAGTTGACAAGGCGCAAAATTCAACAGTATCTAAATTTTGTACCAGTACCAGTAATTAGATATCAAAGACTATCTCAGTCATACAATCAGATTAACCTTGCACAAACTGTCAGAGGCTCTCCTGTCGCATCTTTCCAAATTTGCACGTAAATGTAAACAATGACTTCCGAGAAAAGGTCAAGGCCATGAGGTTGCTGCCATTATTCTGGTGGGGAAAGGGTCTACGGAGGAAATTTCAAATGTGAACCATGCTTTTTAAACTTATTTGATATATGTTTTCCAACTTATCAGTTAATGATTGGTGATTGATGCATTGAAAAAACAAAACGTGACTTGTTATTACTGAATCTGGAGTTTGTTAGTCATTGACGGTTTGCCACCAATCACCCCGTTTCGGGCGATGCCACTTGAGATTGGAATGCGAGGCCGCTTCACGTATTGACTCGTAACCGAAGAAAGAGCTCCACCTGAAATTGTTCATAAAATTGTCATGGTAGAATGGAGATAAACCTACTGTGTGGGAAAATCAGAGGTATATAACGAAATTATAATAGCTCTAAATTTCATTTAAAACCGAAGTAGCGTTCGGTTTTAAATGAAATTTAGAGCTATTATAATTTCGTTATATACCTCTGATTTTCCCACACAGTAGGTTTATCTCCTAATTATAAAGAAAAAAAGAATTTTTACAAAGCCACATATTTACGTGGTTAGGAAGGCCTGAACTAGTTACTAAGGGGGCGATTGGTTACGGAAGGACTGAACTGATAACTAAAGGTCTGAACTGGTTACTGAAGGTCTGAACTGGTTGCTGAATAACTGAACTGGTTATTAAAGAGAGCGATTGTTTACGGAATGACTGAACTTATTACTAAAGGTCTGAACTGGTTACTGAATAACTGAACTAAGTGCTTAAGCGGGCGATTGGTTACTGAAGGACTGAACTGGTTGCTGAAGGGGTAAAGATATGGCCGGAAAGAGTTCCTTCTGTGCCCCTATATTGCCCACTTCTTTCCTCCGCAGATTAACAGAGGTAACGCAACGTGGTTCGACCATATATATTGTAATTATTTTTGGGGGTTTTAGTTATTTTTGAAACAAGAATTTATATTACCGAATGTTTAAATTTCTCATTATGTAAATATAACATTAAAACAAACTGAAATTCAATCATATATTTTACTAACATGGTACTGACAAATTAATCCGAAACACTGGTTCACGGTTCACTGACTGCCGTGGAAGCATGCTTTTTCCATGTGTTCGGGGTGTGAATGATATATTCTCCCTCGCAAAGATTATACCCCGCTTTGGCGGTGTTCGGCCGTGCACTGGGCATACATGGTAATTTGATCAAGGTCACGTGAACCAATCAGAGCTCGACTGTCTTACATGAGGTTAGATAACAAGCTTTACATGACAGCGTTGAGGAAAACATCATGGATTTTCGACAGATGTGTTTCTCTGCTCTAGTTTCTCCAATCTACTTTTTCTTCTTGTTTGATGTAAGTATGTCCTTGTTTGATGTAAACATGCCCTAACATTTATATATCTATCCATAATTACTATTTATATCGAAACTACATAATTCTGTAAGATACTATCAGTATTTCGAATTTGGATATAGATGCGTCAAAGAATATGCTCAGCAATGAAATCCACGGAGGCAATTAAGCCTCCCAAAATGGGAAATTCGACAATCAGCTGTAAAGATCGAGTTCTTTGTGTAGTCCGTATGACAAGTGTACATTGGCACTTCGCCCATTCCTTTTGAGAAGCCAAGGCAGATCGCTCATGTTGTGTGCTGTCAATTGTGTGCCTCTATACTACTGCTTTCCTTTACTGAGAAAGTGAAACCCCAAATATAGCATACATGCATGTTAGATTTCTTTACTGTATATACCAGTCATTTCAGGGCTATTCCACGCCCCCTTATTCAGGTGACTAACTGCAGGAGGAAATCCTGTATAATTGAACACTTCTTACACATTTGTGGGTGAGAAACCCTAATGAGATAACCAGTATGTGTGACCTCGAATTCCTGTCTAGTATTCACGTATATGTATACAACACATCTGACATGCTCTGTCACATCTGGTCATAGCAGTTACATTTTCAACAAGGCATAACAAATTGTATTAAATTTTATTATATACATAACAATCAATTTTCATATCATGAAATTCAGTAAAGCACCCGACACAAAGGACATCATAAAAAAGGCATAGAATTACAAACCTGGATGTAAGATTATCATGGCGAACTGTTGGACAGATGCTGGGTCTGACAAAAGAGTGATTAAGTAGATGCTTATTCCAGGCTGTGACAGTGCGATGACACACTATTGGTTCAAAATTTTAGCCGGCGCTAAAGACAAGCGTTAGAAAGAAGAATGGAAGACATACTGATCTGGATTCGAGGTGTTGGTCACATAAAGGCAGCACCACAGACACAAGATACATACATATCTGATCAAATTGAAAATTTCGATTTCCACTTTTGTAAATTAGTTCTAAAATATAGCAGTATTAAAACGATTTGACGATCGATCGTATATATTCGAGTATGAACCAGACAATCCAATGACTGACATGCTCATTGATTTGAGCGTTCACAGATCAGTTTCGCCAGTAATATTATCAAAGCTATGGCAATAATGTACATGATATCTCGAAGCCTTAGGTTTTCTGGGAACTGCTTTTGTGATGCCGGTTTAGCTTCTCTTGCCAACGGTTTTTGTTGACGATAAACAGGCTCCCTGGCAGCTTTAAAGTCATCATTCGTATAATTACTGCCCCGATTCCTGTCAACAAGCGTGTCTACGGTTTCAATTACACTGAACAGTAAAAGACGTTGGTTAAACAAATTCCCGTCCATACTGTTCACGAAAAAATATCTGTTTCCAGCCATTTTCATAATCTGTTTAATTTCTGGATCAAGTGAAGACAAAATATGTGCTGAAACATCTTTGGCGCTGGTTGATTCCGTGAGGGAATTTCTACTTGCATATACATCACAATGCGTGAATACAAAAACTGCAAAGTTCGAAAAGCGTTCACCAAAAGTGTAGGAAGGTACAAAAGTGCTGCCTTATTCTGTCCATTGATCTTTTCAAAGGAACTTATGACTATGATTATAGCATTGTATCCCATGGGAGATACAGAGACAGCCTCCTCCAGTGAGTCATCTTCATGAAAGTCAGGTCCTGATGGAATACCAACTCCTGTCGCTTCCACAACCAATAGACGTCGTCTACCCACTATGGTAGATGCCGAACCAACTGTACTTCTTAGCAATCCTCCAGTTGCTGGTTGTGGTTGAAGCAGGTCATCACCCAATAAGTAGTTTCCAAAGGCACTTTTACCATGTCCAGTTTGCCCTATGAGAAGCAAGTTCAACTGACAGCCTTCTGGAAGGTCAGGCAGGTATTCTTTGCAGCCCTGAAAATATAATGACTGCCGTTATTAGTATCAATTCTAACACTTTTTGTAGCTCCGCCATGATCCCTCCCATAGGTCGCCATAAACGTTGATTATGTGTCGTAACAGCAAAATGGTCAAACTAAAGTTTCGTCCATTGATTGTGTTACAGGCCTATTCTAACGGATTATCAGGACAGAGGGACGGGTTTGTAAAGATAAGGACAAGAGTGATGACAAGTTAAGTGTGAATCACTGCTTCATCTGACTATGTATTCAGAAAAATACACATTTTCCGTCTTTCCATTGGAAATTGTAAACTACCCGCTAATAGTCACCCGGTTTCATAGTTACCTGGCTTGTCATGGTACCTCGGACAATTCTACAAGAGGCTTAGGGGAATTGAGACCTTTGTGTCAGGGGAATTGCGGCCAGTTATGCCATTATGTCAGGGGAATTGAGACCAGTTATGTCAGGGGAATTGAGACCAGTTATATGCCATTATGTCAGGGGAATTGAGACCTGTTATATCATTATGGCAGGGGAATTGAGACCAGTTATGTCAGGGGAACTGAGACCAGTTATGTCAAGGGAATTGAGACCAGTTATGTCAGGGGAATTGAGACCAATTATGTCAGGGGAATTGAAACCAGTAATGGCATTATGATTCCACTTGAAGGTTAGCAAGGTTAGATGGCATTTTAGCCAAGGTATGACGTACATTCATGCTGAATTGCTCAGCTGACCTATGTCGATGTTTTATACTGTTCTCTTCAGAGGATATAACTCAGATAAAAGGTTGCAGCTAGATGTTCCTCATCTAACAAAGTCCATCCAGGTCAGTCCATTCAAGTCAGAGTCAAATTAGCATTAGATGCATAACACTTAATGTAGTGTACACGACTGAAACCGTAAATCCGTAATCAATCCGGTCAGTGACGTCCTAACACACCCAGGATATGTCATTTTGAAATTCACTATACGTTTGTCGTAACATCTGCACCATCTAGAGCCCGTGAAGTCAGGGTTAGAATTGATCTTCAGCAACTCTTGTCATCGTATCCCAATTGTGTAGATCCCATGCTGTTGATCACTGGATTGTCTGGTCCAGACTTGAATATTTACAGACCGCCGCCATATTGTCGTAATATTGCGGCGTTAAGCAACAAACCAACTAAAACATGATCTGGAAGCATGAAACTCAAACTTTAATGTCTGCAAACTGCCCACTGTATTTTCTGCGTCCGAAAGAACGCTTCAAATAACGTCAGACATTCACCGTTTTCCTTTACCCCATATTGAGGAAGACAGCTGATCATTCTCAGTTACGATTGTGCGGTGAATTCCCACACCTGGATTTTTACCTGTCGGATCTATTCGCAGATGTGTGCAGTGGTATGAGTTTGCAGAAACACATATAGGCAATCATCGGTAGTTGTCAAATATTCTACAATGACTTTAAAGCGTGCTTTATAACCACAAACATTAGGAATTTGCAGGAGTGGATTTGACAGTCACACGGAAAACACTAGTGCCTTGCAAAGACAAACACGTGTCTCTGCATATTCATAGTATACACACTTGGTTACAGCATATCAAATATGAAATATTTTATTCCAGAACTCAGTGGTGTGTGTAAGTTATGCCAAACTGAGTCAGGGGGCGGTGGGGTAGCCTAATGGTTAAAGCGTTCGCTCGGGTTCGATTCCCCACATGGGTACAATGTGTGAAGCAGATTTCTGCTGTCACAACAAAACACACGAGCAACAAGTAATATCACTGATACACAAGGGTGTCTTACCCAGTCGCAGTTCTCCCTGAAGTTGTCATGGTTGTATGTGGGGAGGACGCCACTCATGTACTGAAAGGAAATTGTGACGACAATGAATACCTTTATATATTAATTCTATTTTGTTTCCAGTTTCACGCCGCACTCATCAATATTCCAATTAACATGGCATATTTGGAAAAAATGATATAAACGAAATATCCCCTGCGGCTTTGACCTGTTTTGAAAACATTTATAAACACATTTTTGGGGCTTGTATTGCTGTCTGGTAAAGTGTAAACCTAAATGTGTATTAATTGGTCCTCAGTTTCTTTTCTCGACAGCTGTTCCCCATTATAACTTTTTTCATTTAGCTATGTTTACCGTCAGGGACGGTGGGGTATCCAAGTGGTTAAAGCGTTCGCTCGTCACGCCGAAGATCCGGGTTCGATTCCCCACATGGGTTCAATGTGAGAAGCAAATTCTGGTGTTCTCCGCCGTGATATTGCTTGAATATTGCTAAAAGCGGTGTAAAACCATACTCACTCACTCACTGTTTACGGTTAGTTTCCATCCAACTTTCAAGCTCAACTATTGGTTTCTGTAAACCGGTAACAGAGGACGGAAAAGGTATAGTAATAGAAATAGTTAAATAATATCAAGGTGTAACTGAATACCAATAATCCTGGATGTGCGTGGCGAATTCTTTTGTGAAGAAGGTAACATGATATGACATAAAATGGAACCTTGTCTGACTCATAGATGGCTTGCAAAAATTTCACTATTATTTTGAACACTCACCTTTCAATTCCAATTAACACCACATAGTAACGTATTCATTTTACTGCATAGACCATGTGGTGTTAAAAGATTCAATAGTTTATTTATCTGCACTAAATCAAATGATTTGCCAAAGTCAACAACGAACACATTTTTGACACAAACCTGAAAATATACAGCAGCTAAGACCGTATACACAGCAACAGTCTTTCATAGATTACTATGGTGGTCACAAATGAACAACTATTACAGCCTCAACGCTGTAGGGGTCATATTGAAAGAAAAGCGACTCAAACCTAATGTAGCATGTGATATCTGGGATTACACTCTCTTTGTAAAGTACAAATTCTAGTACTTTTTGGGGTTGAGTCTCATCGGGGATTCGAACCCACACCATCAGAGTCAGGCACCTAATCGCCAGCACACAAAGTCAGCCGCCTAACTAGCTCAGCCACCGCGACTTCCAGTAATGTGGTTTGTTTTGAGCGCCGCACTGACCAATTTTTCAGGTATTTGACGGCGGTCTGTAAACAATCGTATCTGGACCAGACAATCCTGTGATTGACACCATGAGCATCGATGAACGCCATTGGGATACGATGGTATGTGTCAACCATGTCAGCGAGTCTGACCACCCGATCCCATAAGTCGTCCTTTACGAGAAGCATGGGTTGGGAAGACCAATTCTAACGTGTTTCGAGCCCAATAAATATGGGTGTCATCACTGGGATCATGACTGATACGAGCCAGGATCCCCTTCTACGTATTGTTCGTAATGTTACGAGCAATCGTAACTATAATTTATCAGAGGGGACGAATAACGTAGTGCTACGAACGTTTTGTGGATTGGACCCCTGCTTCACTGGTCCAGAGGTTTTGTCCACTACGGACACTGGATGAAAAAACCATGCTTGTCGTAAGGGGCGACTGACTTGGTTGTCACATGTCATCGGTTCCCAATTGCGCAGATCGATGCTCATGCTGTTGATCACTGGATTGTCTGGTCCAGACTCGATTATTTACGGACCGCCGCCATATAGCTGGAATATTGCTGAGTGCGTCGTCAAACTAAACTCACTCACTCACTCACTGGACGAAAACAACACCGTAAAATGTTCACATCGTTAGATACGAACCAGTCGTGTAAGATATATAGGCGCGGCGACAAGGATACCGAGCATCAGCTGTAGGAGGAACGAGGTCACGGTGCTCCCGTCTGGAACAAACACAACAACGTCGAAATACCAACACGTGTACATGTGTATATTGGAGATTTAATAATAATAATAATACAAACCGAAGCATGAGTCTCATTAACTAATTCAGACAATGACCTACTTTTCAGCCGATCCGAATTTTCTCGTGTTAAGTCAAAAGAGACACTACAAACAACTATGGTTACACTGAATCCAAGTTCCTTGTTTCATAAGAAAATGGTATTTATTATTTAATTATAATTTTGAAGTTAAAAAACTCGTATTTCTATATTTTATTTGGAGGTTTAGGCAGCATGTCGTTAACGAAAACGTCACAGACTGCCCCTGTTTGATGAGGTCGTACAGTGATTCACAATTCATCTGACTCACTGGTTACACCTGTTATGTGTTTTTTGCGCTTATTAAATGTATTTTTATAACGTACAATGTGATTGATATAATATAATATAATTTCCGTACCAGACCGCCAAATGCTTCTAGCGGCGGAGCCTCGTTTTGAGATTTAAACCATTTCCAGATTTCCGTTTGTCAGAGCACACTGTACGACGTGTTGGCAAGGATTAGAAGGATCGTAGTGTTGCAATATAAAAGTGCTTAGATGTATCAAATAATACTGATTAATATTTATATATCCAGTTGAATGAGTTGGTCTCAAATGTCTGGACTGGTTATTGCACTAAGTTGCGCAATAGGACGGAACCCAGTCAGCAGGCGGTGAAGTGAAGTGAAATTGGGTTTAACGTCGTGTTGAGAATATTTCGCTCATATGACGACGTGCATACGTGTGTATGTGTATGTGCGGCTGCAGTCTACTCCCAGTTGTGAGAACTCCCAGTTGTGAGACTCCCAGTTGTGAGACAGTGGAGAGGGTAATTAACAAAGAAAACACACCATACTCCCCTGTCTGATAGAATGGATTCACCCTAGCTAATTACTGATTTGCTATGTAACTGAATCTTGTGGAGGTTACTTAATGAAACTTTATAAGATAAATTGATTAACATACTCATGTAAATGTCTTTAATAATTAAACACTTTGTGTAGGTAACTTCGTGATCAAAGAGAAATTAATTTACCTACTCAGATTTACTCCGTCTCCGAAACTACAAGCTATAGTTTAAGAAATAACTCTGAAATACAAGAAATTTCCAGTCGAACTGCCTCTCATGCCAAACCCTTTCTACCCGACACAATAAATTTACAAAATGCCCTGCCAAATTCCAAAGAGTCATGCAGTCTCAAAGAATTTTAAAACCTGATTACAAAAACCGAAAAAAGATTTATATTGATCTTAATTATGGCTCTTGTTTTGTCAAATCGTTCACTGCCGCCTCAGGCTCGGATCTAGCGACCCAATCGCCGGTAAGTATAACAGACATTTAATAGACAGTGCACGTTGCTCTTGCGGATATCAACTACCCGTTATAACCTGGATAATATTTTGAACGGAAACAAAGAATTTACTCCTTGTGTAAACCAGAATATAGTTAAATCCGTCCACGATTATATCATCAAGACACAGCGCTTCAAATTTTCTCAGGGAAATGCTTAAACTTTCTCGTGATTGATTTATATTCCTACAATAGCTTGTTAGACACACACAACTGTAACTCTCTAATTATGACTACTTAGAGAATAGTTGCATTTGATGTAATCTGTATATATTTATATGTATTTAAAAATATATTTATGCAATAGTCAATATCGATGACGTCACATCCTCCATTTCGTTCTATATTTTATGTTGCATGGGAGCATGTGTTAACATGAGCAGTAATACTTCACCAATCCCAATTCATTTTCATAATAATAATAAAATATGTTCAAACTAAAATTACTTTCAAACTTCATAATAGTCAATAAATATGTGTTATTGTTCTGAATCAATAACATATTTATTGAACTATTTCTTCTGTGTAAATATAATCTTTGAAAATCTATTTCATTAGTCAACTCATTAATGGACTATGCCTCCTGTGGGTACTGGGCTGGGCTGATCCCACTTTCATTGCAGGGATGTGGTAACACCACCTATGTGCACTGAACCATTAATTAATGTGTCTCACAACTGGGAGTTCTCACAAATGGGAGGACACCGCGGCTGCTTGTACTAGCCCAGACTAAAGCTGGTTTTATAGTGCTACCCCACTGAGATACCATGCCGAAGTGAAGCATGAATACCCCACTAAGACACATTATACTGACTCCGAGCCGACCAGTCCTTGTAGTACCCATTAATGCTGAGCGCCAGGCAGGGACCAAGTAACAAGTACCATACCTTTTGGTATGACGCGGTCGGGGATCGAACCGGCGACCTTCCGCTCTCCAGGCGGACAGAAGCTCTAACCACTACACCACGGAGGCGGTAAACGAGACTGCTCTGTAATCAATGTTTTGACTTGTTATGGCCATTAATATAGCGCCTGTTTCCACGCACTTGTGCATGCTACAAGCACTGACGCAGTATTACGCCGGATAACCCAAGCCGGTGCAACGTTAGAAGGTTAACAGTAATATTTATCACAATATTGTCTGATCCTGAAGGAATATTTGCATGGACGTCACTCAGGTAGAATACCGCTAATAGCAGCATCATACAGCAAACACTACCCAACATGAGAACGTGAGAGAGTGCAGTGTGCGCGATCCGTGATGTAAGGGAGGTAATCTAAACTGTCAAAGGGAGTTAACCAAACATCTTCACACTTCCACCTCTTCGTTTTCACAGATATTCCAAATCATGACAACTCGCCCATTTAATCTGTTAATCCTTCACGTTGGTCGATGTCCATATGCAGTCTCTCATTTGCTGGTTTTTAAAGCCACACATCAATTATAGGGAGGTACGTTTCGTGTAATTTTTCAATGGGATCCAGACAACGTATTTAGAAATATATATTTTCTTTGCAATTCCTTTAATTTATGATTCACCTAATTGCCTGTAATCACACTGATTGTTCATTTATCGATTTATATAAGACCATGTTATTTTCCCTTCAGATCGGCAAGTTTGTATGTCCATAAGAAGATCCACTTCAGCAGAACGAACCTGCCATATCTCCCCGTAGTAAGATCTTACAAGCTCTCTAGTAGATATAACATAACATGATGTGATTGTATTAAACATGGGGCACCAACCTTGACCACCATTTGTCTGAGACGCCGCAAAAAGCATTGCAAGTCGACGAAATATTCTGGATTGTGCGGAGCGAAACGAAAAGTGTCGCCTGCTGGGTTTGTCCCATATCTAAAAATAGGCCCTGGCGATCGGGGAAACAATGGGTTCTCAGCACGTGTTGGTCGTGAACTATGAGATAAGCTTTCAGTCAGCGTCTCACGGTCGCCGTAATATGACTGACACTCGCTGAGAATAAATAGTCCAGTCAAAATGTCACTAAACCTCCCAAAAATTGGTACAGAAATGATTTCAGTGTTTTGAACATGTTTGAGTTGTAACTAATGTGTACTAAAAAGCCCTCCCTTGAAATATGAAGTCCTATTTTTGGAGTGAAAATTGAAAAATTGAAATTTTCAGTGAATAATTTTTAAAATCTCACATGGAGACACAAATATACATTTTTATATATATTTTCAAAGAGAACATAAGGTACTAGTAATCAATGGGTTAGAAAAGTCAAATAATGTTATCCAAAGTCCTGTCTTAACTCAAGGTACTACTAATAATAAGTGGTCTGGAAAAGTCAAATTACTTCATGTTTACTCCTATTTTTGAGTAAAAAGTTTAAGAAATTGAAAGTTTCAGAGAACATTTTTTAGATTTCACATTGAGACACAAATGTACTTACTATGGATATTTTCAAAGAGAACACAAGGTACTACTAATAAATAGGTTAAAAAAGTCAAATAAATGTATGCTAAATCCTATTATGGGGTAAAAAATTGAAAAGTTGAAATTTTCAGAGAATGATTTTAAAAATCTCATATTGAGCCTCAAATGTACTTTTATGAGTATATTTTCAAAGAGGACACAAGGAACTACTAATACATGGACTGGAAAAGTCATATTATTTTAATAAAACCATAGAATAAAAAAGACTCTTCAGAGCATATATTTTCTATTTTCAAGGGTAAAATAAACACAACTTTGGGAACAGGCAATTTAGTTCCTCTTTTGTCTCAAAGTTTAGATTTTTCTGAAAGAGAACTATCCTCTATCAATATGGAGAAGCTGTTCCCACATATGAGAACTCCAAGAGAATATGATTCTGTGTAGATCACCTGACTGGTTAACCTTATATACATGGTTTGTCGAAATGTGTATCGACATTGTACTTCGCGTTGTACTTGACCGCTCACAAACATAATTTGAGCAAATATAGCTTTGAGTCTGGGATTCAGTTTGATCATAGGCATGGAGGTGACATAACTCAATACTGAGAATGTTACAATCTAGTGATTCATTTTATTCTACATGAATTGTTCAAGACATCAAGCAATTTGATTCAGCAAAGTCTGAACAAATCGCTTGGTAAAGGACATATGAACCCATCTCTTACAGCGCATCACCACCTCGGCAACCTTGGCAACCTCGGCAACCTTGGCAAACAGTCACCTGTTTGGCAGAAACGTCATCATATGAGTGAGTTCATGCTCTCAGATTGATCTACATTATCTGTTGCAAACTGAATGAACGACCCCGTGTACACACATTGTCGGAAGCTTGCACTTATCTCCTACTTCTGTAACTAGAGATAGTGATGACTGAACAAGATATTAATTAACATAACAGGTGGCTTGAACTATAGTGATGGTGACCCTGAACACCACGGGTTTGACAGAGATACCCTTGGTCTCATAGTCTGTATATTTGAATTCATTTTGAGAATCATACTTAGTGAGAATGCTATTCCAAGCAAAACTAACAGTAACAGAAGATATTCTGAGTAAAGGAAGTCCAATAATTTGAAGGGTTGTGTTTAGGCTAACGTGAATATTTGAGATGTGGTTGGGTGAGGTGAATGGTTCAATGCTGCTTGCAATAGTTTTCCACTTACCCGTACATCGAATTGTACATGATTTTATAACAATTATCCACAGCGACATGTTATACCATGGGATATATAGTCATTCCTGTGTCAGTCCGAAATCTTTTCGTTTCCTGAGCAAGATTTTAAGACGGTTGGTAAACAAGCATGCACCACCTACTATTAAAGCATTTGTCCTTTAGTAATTTCAGTATAATATATTTCGATATCGTTACATTTTTTACTGAAGGTAAAAAGGACAATACTGGTTGTACTTTCAAAACCTTACTAGAGCTTTTAAAAAGTAGGCTAGCACCTGTGAAGATCCGGGTTAGAATTGATCTTCAGTAAACCATGTTTGTCGTAAGAGGCGACTAACGGGATCGGGTGGTCAGGCTCGCTGACTTAGTCAACACATGTCGTCATATCCCATGCATTGATGATCATGCTGTTGATCACTGCATTGTCTGGTCTAGACTCAATTATTTACAGACATATTATAAAGAAATAAAGAAGTTTTACAAAGCCTCATATTTACACGGTTACTGAATGGCTGAACTGGCTACTAAAGGGGGCGATTCGTTACATAAGGACTGATCTGGTTATCAAATGTCTGAACTAGTTACTGAAGGACTGAACTAGTTACTAAAGGGAGCGATTGGTTACTAAAGGAGTGAACAAGTTACTAAAGGGGGCGATTGGTTACTGAATGGCTGAACTGGCTACTAAAGGGGGCGATCAGTTACTGAAGGACTGAACTAGTTACTAAAGGGGGCGATTGGTTAAAATGCCGAGCGCCAGGCAGGGACCAAGTAACAAGTACCATATTTTAACGTCTTTTGGTATGACGCAGTCGGGGATCGAACCGGCGACCTTCCGCTCTCCGGGCGGACAGAAGCTCTAACCACTACACTACAGGAGAGTGTATCAGACTCTCACTGCAATACCACTATTATACCTCTAGATCAATAATGTACTTGTGCAGACTGTTGCAGCTACAACATCATAGACTTCCTTATCATGCAGGCCTACCAAATGCTCAAATCTCTCGATGATAATAATAAATCTACCTGGGCTTCACATATTAGACAAATCCTTTTTCAGTATGGTTTTGGGTTTGTATGGATCTCACAAGAAATTGCCTGCATTAAAACATTTATATCCATCTTCAAGCAGCGATTTTACGACTGCTTCCTTCAAATTGGAGTTCCTCACTTGACTCTTCATCTAAATGTAAATATTATTCACAATTTAAATCTTTACTAAATGTCGAACACTACTTGTCATGTGACCTCCTCCCATATCAAAGGAAAGTTATGGCTATGTTCCGCTGAAACAACTTAAGATTAGCAGTGGAAACCGGCCGCCATACAAATACACCCTATGATCAACGTCTCTGCCTTTACTGCCACTCTGTTGGTTTAAACTATGTTGAAGATGAGCTCCATGTTCTACTTATCTGTGGTAAATATTCTGAAATAAGAAATACATGTTTCACAACCCACCAGACCCACCCTCCCACAATTGAAACTTTTGTGCGTTTAATTACTCGCAACGACATAAATTATCTAAAATCATTAACTACATTCCTCACCACCGTATTAAAACTAAGACATAAATCCACTACTACAATCAATTGACCCTGAACTCCAATCGTCATCCTATATTAAGCATGTATGTATTATTTATAATTGCACTATGTTGTATTATGGGCCAAGGGCCTACATTACTGAAATAAAATGTCTGTCTGTCTGTCTGATTGGTTAAAATGGCTGAACTGGCTACTAAAGGTCTGAACTGGTTACTGAAGGACTGAACTGGGCCTAGATTTTCGAAGCGCTAAGATAGTCGTAAGTGTCATACTAAAGAGATCGATTGTTTACAGCATGAATGAATGAACTGATTACTAAAGGTCTGAACTGGTTACTGCATGAAGGTCTGAACTGGTTGCTGAAGGGGTAAAGATATGGCCTGAGTTGCGAGTCTCCGCTTTGACAAATTCACGTACTCGCAGAGAACATGTACAGTATGTAGGTCAGCGACTGAGATGTAGCATTATGCGTTGTCTCTGATTTGACAGATCGATATTGAAAAGACGCATATTGTGCAGCTACGTATAGCTCTTGACCTGAACAAATAAACGCATATTATATAGTTCAATGTGAAATTGATATGATCGATGCAATTACGACAGAACTCGAACGAGCGGAATCTGTCAATGAAGTAGGTCATTCTGCATAATACAGCGGGTAGGACTACTATATCAACAGTCAACAGATATAAATAGCTCCCCTGCTGGAGAAGATAGCTTGTATTTGGTCATAGTTAGTTCCGTACGGAAGCGCTGAAGGGACCTGATGAAATATAATTTATCTTGAGCGCACAAGTTAGTATATTGAGCGCACAAGTTAGTATATTGAGCGCACAAGTTAGTATCTTGAGCGCACAAGTTAGTATAAGTTAGTATCTTGAGCGCACAAGTTAGTATCTTGAGCGCTCACGTTAGTATGTTGAGCGCTCGCGTTAGTATGTTGAGCGCTCGCGTTAGTATGTTGAGCGCTCGCGTTAGTATGTTGAGCGCTCAACTTGGTATCTTGAGATACACTGCTCCATAAGCAGTTCATGTGGAAGCAAGGAGGAGCGGAAACGCGAGCTGATTCATGATTATTTCAGTCTTGGGTTCCAATACAAACACATAACACATCTTCTTGTCAAAAATCATAGTATAGTATAGTACGCCATTCGAAGCGTATTCTGAGGTGTATGTCCCTCTTTTGCACCAGATACCAGATTTGCTGATGTTACAGTGAGTGAGTGAGTACGGTTTACACCGCTTTTAGCAATATTCCAGCAATATCACGGTGGGGAACACGATAAATGGGCTGCACACATTGTACCCATGTGGGGAATCGAACCCAGGCGTGACGAGCGGACGCTTTAACCACGAGGCTACCCCACCGCCCCGCTGATGTTACATACTTTATTGCGGACAACTTCGTCGATCTGGACAAAGACATGGTTATCGTTGATGCATCAAAAATGTATCCAATGCGGTTTAATCGTGAAACAGGATACTGTACGGTCGTTGTTGGACCCGGATGGTGTTGAATTTCGCTCAGGACACTGTCTTCATCGACGTGTTTATTCTTCAACTTCCTGTGTTGTTAAAACATGTTAAATAAACTACAACACACACACACATATACATAAGGGATTGAAACGGAGGAAGTAAAACGGGGAACACGGTATTTTGGTAAGAAATAAAGT